AGATGATTTCAGAGAAAACCAGTGGCACCATTGTGTTCCTCGCGAACTTTTATACAAGAATCAACAGTCAAATTGCAAATTCCTCGCACATGTAACATCTCCATTGGGCCAAAATGCACCGATATCAATACCTCATATGTTACTTGGTTCCTCGAAAATTCTCCTCTTGGACTTAGCCTAAAAGTGTGGACACTTTTTAGCCTCCGGCGAAACCTAGAGTCTATACGGCTTCGCCGCACGACTAAAAAGGTGAACTTCAAACTCTTGTATGAATTCAAAACCACATACTTCAGATAAGGAAACTACAAAACACTTGATTTGAGGCGAACATGAAAAGCGAATGATCAAAGAAAAGAATGTCAGGTTGTGAACTTATGAGAACTGACTTTCTGTTTCAGAATGCTCTGAATACACATCACGATGAGCCGATAGACTCTAGCTCCAGGCTGTAAAATACGATAAAAGTGATTGTCAGATGCTTTGTAGAAGTCAGAAATGGTTTGAAGGCAAAGAAAATTAAAAGATTCCGAGTTGTTTGGATCCCTCCTGTTATCAATCTTCGTTTGTTTACGAGCCCGTCGTTTCCGATAGCCGATGCTCACTCGCGGTCGCCCGGTGAATAAATTTCGCGAACTTTAACGCCTTTGTCATCAAGAAAGAGTTAATTTCGGACGAAACCAAATGTTCAACAAATTTCTCGTCAAATTTTACCACTAAATCACGATATACAGATAGAAACTTTCGCTAAATAAACAAACCGGGCAGCATCCATATTGTTCGGACTAACTCGGTATAAACCAAGGGTCGTCATCTAAAGTGTGACATCACAAATCGGCGTTCGCGCCAACGGCCCGGATTCAAATAACGTTTTTGAGGGGCACGATTTTAAAATCGCATTTTCTCCCCTTAGCAATTTTTTTCAAAACTTTTTAGGGTGCTCATCGTTTTCCTGATGAAATTTTACATATAGTGCAATAGCTTTTAAGCCAATCTCTCACCAGCCGAACTGCCTCATTTTCAAGATATAATATTTTTAAATTTTAATGGTTTGATTCCTCCTTATTTTTCAATTTTTGCACAACAAGGAACTTTCCGGCTGTGCTACCACAGCTGTTCTGAAATTGTATGTTTGCCAAAAAAATGTTGAACTTTTGCTTCATGAAATTGCCGAATTGAACACAGCCAGAGATTCAATTTACCAGATTGAGTGCGTGCTCAAGTTTTTAATGAGAGAAATCTGATCGAATGACTGAAGCTTTTGCTCACATTAAATTCAGCCTCTGGTTTAGTTCATATATGTATATCTGTAGTTTCTGGAACACTTTCATAGTCTTCACTCACTGAAAAATTAACTGTAATTACCTTCAAGTCCACTTTCTGCGCTTGGGCGGAATAATTCAATAATGGATTTCCACTTAAGATATTCTCCATGCGAATATTTTCTTCTTCTTGTGCTTTTTCTGCTGCCTGTTGAAAACAGATAGTTTGTCAAATTTAAAAAACTGGTTTGAAATCAGAGGCAGGGATGCCCACCGGAAAATCAGGATATGTTATGAGTGACAGCCAAGTAAATGTTGCCCATGGACTCTGCCCCATAATGTGATTGAAGAGCATTATGAGTACGAATGAATCATGGCTGTTCAGGTGGCTTATTACTGAGCAACTGCCAAATCCCCTTGCTCCTTTTTCCCATTCCGTTGGGTCCTTTAAGGATGTATGTGAAGTTAGAAAGTCCCATCATTGACCTTGATGCTACTTGATGGTGGGTACAAGAATCGTCGACACAAGTGGATCGAAAAACGAAAACACAATTCAATTGACATCGATTCGTTCGAAAATTTCAATTTAAAAACCTTGAACGAAAAAAAACTATTTTTACGGCGACGTTGTTTTGTTCCACATCGGTTCACTTGACACAGATCAATCGAAAAATAGAAAGGCAATCCAATCTACACTCTTTCGATCGACTTTTTTTCCATTGAAAAATTTTTCATAGACACAGTTTTTATCGACGAATAACGAGATGTACTTTTTCGCTCGAAAATATCAATTTAAAATCCTTGAAAAAAAAAAACATTTTCACGTCAACATCGTTATGTTCGACGCCGGTTCACTTGACACAATTCAATCAAAATATAGGAATGCAATTAAATCGACATAGATTTGATCAGCACTCATTCGATCGACATAATTTTCATTAATGTGGTTTGATTGACATATTTTCGATCGACAATGTTTAGAGCGACACTTTTTTGCTCGAAAAATGCTTAGTGATAAAGAACCACCATTTCGTCAACTCTTTTTCAATCGCAAATTGCATCTTTTAATCTCGCAGGAGGCATGTGCAAGCCATAGAGTTCATTTACATGTGTTCAATCGAGTGCTTATCATGTTTTCATTTTTCCATCGAGTTGTGTCGACGATTCTTGTAACCACCCTTCTTGATAGCACCATTTTTTCTTAAAAAAATTACATATGTAAAATTATAGTAAAACAGGCCATGCAGCAGAAATGCAGTTTGGCAATAAAAAAAATGCGCATGTGCCCTTTTATTATACACCCCTTCAAACAAAGGCTTACCAAACTGCATGGACAGATTGTCAACAGGCTCAGAAAAACTGGAAAGTTCTGAAAAATTGCGGAATTTTGAAAACTGGTTGGCAGTGGGGAGAAAGTTGGGTTTGACTCCGGGCTCAGAATGAATTAAAAACCCTGTCTTTTAGTAACATCTCTCAACTTAAAATGCAACCCTAACAGCAAATCAAAAAGTCGCTTCAGCTAATTTCTGCAAGAAAGTGCCTCATTTTCACCATTAGACCCTTTCAAACCACAGTCAACAAAGTTACTGCTTTTCTGAAAGGTGAAGAATTCGTCTTTGTCACTTATGTTCGGTATGCATTGTTACTACACTGAACTAGTTTACTACCTACTGAACCTACCTATACTGAATTAATTTTTCAAATTTCTTTTTTTTTTTTAAATCAAGTTCCATTTCTTTTATCTCCTTCTTTTTTTCCATGTTCTTTTTTTGCATAGAAAATATTTAACTTTTATCTCTTTTGCAGAATCATATTCAAAGGAGATTGGTCTCATTTCAGCTATCAGGATCATTTCTTAAACTTTTCGAAATGAACCTTAGGACACACACAATTAGTATAATAATTCAGTTAAATAATAATAGAATGGAATAATAAACTTGATCTACGAATACGAAACACATTCTTGTCACACAAGAAAAATACCTTCTTGGCTTGCTCTATAGATCGTTCTTTTTTTATTCTGGAGAGTTCTGCAAGAAGCACTGCAGTGTCATCCTCACTGTCTGGGTCATCTGAATCATCATCATCAATTGGATCATCAACGTCAAGGCTTGATGCAGGCAGCTGTTCAACTCTTGGTCGTTTGCTAAATAAAAAAAAAATAAGTTGTGTGAATTATTTTTTTTAAGTGACTGTCATGTATTGTAATGTAGTAGCTTCGATTTTTCTCCATTACTAAATTAAGGAGGCATATTGAACTGTAATTTCCCACCAATCATTGAGCAATCTGTGTGCCGAATCTCATCTGTCATTTATCTTTTATCAGCAACAAGTACTAGCACACTCATGATCACAGTTAGTTAAGTCACCTACTGAAATTTGTATACCTAAAATTTGTAATTATAGAATAAAAACAAACCTTTTGATAAACCTGGTCTTCTTCCTGAATAAAGCCAATAGTCATAATACTGTTTGATTCTCAGTAAAGTAAAAAAATTGTTCCAGGTTAGTCACCAATTTGTAGAAAATGAGAGAACAGGGAGACACTTACCTATTACTTGATGAGGCGTCCACAATCCTCTTCAGACCTTTGGCATCTTTGTCTTTTTCTTTTTCCTCTAATTCCTTCCGAAAATCGCGAGCTTTCAATTCTGCATTGGTTCCTTGGCCCTGTTCCCTATAGAGCATAGCCAAAAGAGTGAAATTTAAGAACAAGAATGAACCAATATCTTGAGATTGACAGTACTGAAGAATTAATCCACAAAAATGACTTACCTTGAAATATCGAAAAAAAAAAAAAATTATAAGCTTCTTTTTGCATAGTAATAATGGCTACCTGAAAAAGGCAAACAAGATGTCGCTTCAATTGGTCATATCAAAGAGAAGGATGCATACGATTACTCATCAACTGCCACTTTACTTAAAAATGGAGTTTATTCCATTGATTTTCGACTAACTTTAAAGTGAAATTACCATTTGAGTCGAGTGATACCGTTTCAAAGAGTGGATCAGGAAGGAATTTTGAACTACTGACAACCTCCGGTACAACAGAGCTGAATTACCTTCGGGCGACATTCTGCCTACAACATTGGGTTTTTATGTTGGCAGCAATTACTAACACACCAAAAATTCTTTCATCTCCAAAGGTGGGTCGAAAAGTGGATGCATTCACACATTGGCCAAAATTTGTCAAGCAACTAAGATTAAATTTTTACTTCAGCGGGGATATTAAGTATTACTCCTTACGTTTGCGAGCATGCCGATCTGGTTAAAAAATTTGGCTAAATCCACTCGCAGGAATGCGCCTAACCTAACTCGAGGATTTCATGTCCGCCATCTATTTAGATCGGTGGCTTTTTGATGCCTCAATATTATTATCTGAAAATCAGCTACGAAATCATAATGGAGTTGGAGTTGGCATAGCCAGATTTACGTAATGGAGATGTTGCATGTGTGAGGAATTTGCGATTTGACAGTTGCTTCTTCTGTAAAAGTTCGTGAGAAACTCGATGATACCACTGGTTTTCTCTGAAATCAACTCTCAAGCCCAAAAAAAGCTCTCAAGTTGAGGCTAAAATGGAGAGGTTATCCCACGCTATCCTGAGAGTCCACCTCTACATCAAGACGAACTCTCCATGCAAAGATAGGGAGCAAATACATTTGACAGGGTTGCCACTTTAATTGCGGGGACTCGAAAACTGAAAACACGGCAACTCTGCTAATGTATTTGCTCCCTATCTTTGCATCGAGAGTTTGTCTTGATGTAGAGGTGGACTCTCAGGATAGCGTGGGATAACCTCTCCATTTTAGCCTCAACTTGAGAGCTTTTTTTGGGCTTGGGAGTTGATTTCAGAGGAAACCAGTGGCACCATCGTGTTTCTCGCCAACTTTTACAAAAGATTCAATAGTCAAATCGCAAATTCCTCACACCTGCAGCATTTCCATTGCCGCTTTTCAGGCTGTCACGATTTGGCCGCCCCCACGACTTGCCAAAGCGGGGGGCAAGGGAGGCAGGAATGTCATACCGTTTGTAGATGACGCAGCAAACACACTTGTTCACGAAAATTTTCGAATTCCTTCATAATCCATGTGTCTGTCCATATTAGTCACCACAATGCTCCAATTTCTTTTGGATTTGATGGCCACGAAGACTGTGCCTCAATGTCGGCGCCCAATCTTCATTTTTCTCTCTCTTTTTTTTCCGCTCCCTAAAAATTTGGTGCCGCCTCAAGGCCTATGTATAAATCCGGCCAAGGGAGCAAGTATGTTTGAGTTAAATGCGCAGGGTGAAGAAAACAGGTTGGACAAGCCTAGCGCTGTTACGTGCCCGGAAGTTGCTCTTCTCCAACAGCAAGCGTTTCTAAATTTTAAATTTTGGACTATCTTACGGCTGATTTTTTGGCTCTTTCCCCTACTCACATGATTCCTAAAAATTCCTGTCACGTGTGGAGCTTTATTTCTATCAATTCCGTCTATTATAAGATGTTGTGCGAAAGGTCCCTTATGTCATAGGGCAGAGACATCCATCAGGACTTGCTTAAGGATAGCTCAGCAGCTCGCCCACAGACTTGCATGGATACCGGCGATGGAAGCACAAGTTAGTTCCATAGTGGATAGATCGCCAAAATTTTAGCGACCACAGACCAGGGACCCTGAGTTTATTGAAACTTTCTCAAATCAACGCTAAGGTCCAGTGCGAGAGCAAGTTAATTTAAGTGCTCATCTTCGATGCATGCAAATTGAAGAGCAAGCAAGGCCGAGGGACTAAGTTGCTGCTCAGAAAGAGAGCAAAATTCGACCACCGCTTGCCGCTAGAAATAAACGCTGTGGGCAAGTTTCCCCGACGCAGAAACTTGCAGAGCGACGGCTGGTTGCCAATGGATATTTAGGGCACCCGAATGACAACACCGCGAATTTCCCAACCCTCAACCCCAATCGGGCAGGTTGCGCAGCGTCCGACACTGACAAAGGCATCATGCCCTGTCGCCGGAGCATCATTTGGCATTCCTCATGGATTATGTAATTACTAATGAATCTGACACAAGTATCTTTCATAAGTTCTGCTTCCGTCCAGAGAGTACGGAGGGTCCCTATATTCTCTGCTTCTGTCAGGAGGTCACCTTGCTGCAGTAACCACAAAAGTGGTACCTACGTCCATCTTTCAGGTCCAAGTCCGCCTTTCGTATCTTCTTGAACTTCTGAGCCAGACTTATCTGTCTGTCGTCTCTGTCACTTGTCCGCAACCATCCCGGTGTTTTGTTTATTATGTTGTCACCTATTGTTTTTTAATCATTTATGTATTTAACATAAGCGATGATAAGATTTTCCTTTTTTTGGCAAAAAAAAAAAAAAAAGGAAAACCAAATTGAAAAAAAAAACCTACTGATACACCTCTGTCACCTTTGGTAGTCTTGCGCCTGTGAAAACATAGCTTTCTTTCAGAAACTGCCCTCAGCTTTCAGTGGTCCATATCGAAAAACGGTTTGTGGCAGAAGTACTTGGTTGCTGTAAAATTGCTTACACTAAGATTTAACTTCGGTCAAAAAGAGCAGAGAGTGAAACATTCTATAAAAGAAACCTGCGTAAACAATGCCTAAGTGAAGAAGACGCCCCAGAGAGGGTGATCAGGGGCTTCAAAAGGAACAGGGGAGCTACTGCTCCCTTAGGATGTGGAAGGACAAGGCACTATGGCGGTTACGCGTCGCAGAGCGCGAGAGGCCGCTTTTAAAGCAGAATCAAGCAGTTCCATCAACCCATGGTGAATTACCCGCGGAGTTACCCGTTGTCAAGCTGAGCAATGAAACAGCTTTCCAAAGGGTATTTCTATAGAATGAGGTCCGTGATCACCCTCGATAGGTAATGCATTACAATGAACCTAGTTCAGGTGCGTTCGTGCTAGAAAGCAAAGTTTATTTTGGTGAATTACCCATTGTCAAACTGAGGCCTAACTACTGTCATGTGACATAATTTAGATCCTCAAGGCTCACTGCTATATTTCCCAGCCGCAAAATCTGTTGCAGCGAGCATTGAACTGCCATTACAGTCACCCGGTAAAATGCAATGCTTCAACAAAGGTTCAAGAACGATCATCAAACTCGCGACGCTCTCAGCAAGTACTTTCCGATGAGGCATGTTGTCTATCTTGCACTCACCTTTCTATTTCGGTCAATGAAAGTGAGTAGTCCGGGGTCTGGCTGCAGGCGGCTTACTAAAGGTAATAAGGGCTTCTAAACAGTGATCCCCAGTGTCCCCTGTACAGGGTCTGCACACACTGCCAGTATCAATGCTATTATTGGCTGCTTTGTCATTCTGTGACATCAGCGGGCCGATTCTTCAAATTTAAACCAGCCCGATAATACATCGAATTGCGATATATTGCATGGTTAAGATAGGGCTTTGTCTTGTCTTGTCGTGTCGGGCTGACATGGTTTCAATAATCGGTCCGCAGGTACACAGATTATTATATATAGGGAAGCGTTTTATAAAATACGTTTGGTCAGGTACTAACCTGAATTTGAGTTTGGTGTGACTCGGTAAATCTCGACTAGAATATTGTTTTGATATGGCACTGAGGTCCTTTTCACCTCGACCTTGTCCACCTCTGGCAGGATCAAAAGTTGGTCTTGCGGCAGTTGTCATTTCTGTAAAGAAAACTGACTGACGGAAATAATAGTGTAGAAAGGTAAAGTCAGGGGGTTTCCGATCTACAAATGAACCATGAAAACGAAATGAAATATTGAATGAACACAAAAACAGAGCATGAGGGAAATACAGAAGGGTGAAGGCAAGGCGGATAAAGAATGGTGGTCGCATCTCGTACCCTCTTGACGTCACGATTGTAAACAAACCCAACTGCGGAGTTAGGGGGTTTGAGGTTTACGCTGCACTCTAACGCTACAAGGTATTGTATAGTCACTTATCATTGTAAGTATTTCTGGCGTTGATAGCCCGAATTTAAAATGAAATTACTGCGGTGTATATTATTTTGCTATCTTTATCAGTAAATAATTTAAAAACCGTGAGAGGTTTTTTTTTTTTTTTTTTTTAATATTTCTTATTTTCTCCATGGGTACCTGATTATCAATATAATTTTTCGGGGGATCCCCCGAACCGCCTTATCTGGGGGGAGTCCTCCCTTTGTTTTTCAGAAATCCCCGACCCCCTCTCCGTTTTTCCAATTTTCACACTTGTCTCCCAAATTTCCGAAAGTACAAATTTCTCCTGGAAGCATCAAAAAGAAGAATGATTGGACGTTATTTCCAAATTTCTAAGGAAAAACCACCGTATTACAGCTCTCAAAAATCCGAAATATACTAAGTCCAAAATGATAGGTCCAGTTTCGTCAGAAAGTTGCACATGTGCGTGAAGGAACGAGCCCATCGGGTACATTTCTTTAAACACAAATTTCAGCCAGAAATATTAATCATTAGAATGATTGTAACTTCCTTGCAAATTCTCCGTAAAAATTTTAACTCAGACTACGATCTGAAAGCGTTTCATCAGGAAGGAAAACTCATAATTCCGTTCGGAAGTTGTATGAGCCTCGCGCCGCGGCATCGCATCGGGTACACTTCGGGTACATTTCAAATCGCGCGGTAAAAGCCTGTACCCTCTGCACGTCACACATCGTCAAGATGGCAGCCAAAATCGAAATGCGACCACCATTCTTTATCCACTCTTGAGATGCGTTGTTAAAGTCCACAACTGCCCAACGGAAATTACCCGCTGAGCGTTGAGCTCAACGAAAGCGTTGGTAAATTCTGGTGGATTTACCCGTTTTCCAAGATGGCTGTTCAGCAAACTGCCCAACAGCTCAGCGAGGTTCTCGGCTGCTGTGGACCGCTGCCGAGTTTGCTGGATTGTTGTAATGTTATTGTTTACATCCATAACCGCCATTTTTTCGCACTTCTTCGCCACATGTTCGTCACCAGACCAAAGACATAAAGACGGAGCGCTCGTATCTAAAAGCACGGGGAAAAAGTGAAGCTAGGTTCGGCGCTGCGCGCTTGTGTGAGTGTGTAAATGAACGCGGGAATCCATGGCGGCAAACGGAAATTTGATTTGAACTTGTCCTCTTGATTTTTGCACATTCCTTCTTTGAAACGTATTTTAAATTCCTAAAACGAATATACTAAGAAAGTTCGGTCTGCGTCCTAATATAATACACCTACTTTTGCTCGGTAACAGGCAGTAATCTCACATAAAGTTAGTTTTTCTTCTGCTTATGGTGGTTCTGCAGGTTCAAACAGGCCGTTACAGTTCTAGATCAACGTTACTCCCAAATGAAATTAATCGGTCGACGACGGACTGAAACTAACCTAAAGTTAAAAAAATATGAGTGTGTACCTGAATTTGGGCAAAAATCAACCTAAAATACTTTGTTTCCGCAATTTTATTTATTAGTTCCCGCCCTACATTTGAATTCAAACTTGTCCCGATTTCGCCGCCAATCCTCTAGCCAATAGTAGAGGTGATTGAAAAGAAGCTCTAGAAGCTTCATTTTTTGCTTTTAGTGCTCCGTCTTTATGTCTTTGCACCAGACTGACTTGCAATTGCTTGAAAATCTTAAATTTCAACAAAACTTAACCTCCAAATCTGCAGAATCCTACGGGAATTTAACAACGACACCTCGATTTTCTCCCGTCTGTTGAGCTGACGTCATCGTTGAGATGACGTCAATCCTGCTAAGATTCGGCCATTTTTGTTGGGCAGCAAAAGTAATTTAACAACGCACCTCTGGGGTGAAGGGTGGTGGCAAGGCAGCCATTTTGAAGATTTGCTGTGACGTAGAGAAGTACACGGACTGGCGCGCTGTTCAAAAAAAGTACTTCATGATGGATGGAACCTGTATAAAGACCTACATCACCGCTCAAACTAACAACGAAAGTCAAAAATTGAACATTAGTTACCATGACTTTCCGATTTCTGCTCTTTTGACGTACAGAACGTAATTAGACATGGTTATACCTTTAAAACGGGACGAGTCGAGATAAAAGTTGTTATTATACAGGGTGTCCGGAAATTAACGTACTTAACTTTCAGGATCGCTTTTTCGGCTCAAAATAAGACTTTTTTTCCTATACACATATGCCCGAAAACGCTTCATACGTGAGCTATGCGCTTCCAAAGTTGCCTCTTTTTTTCGTTCAAATTAATATAGCTCCTCGTCATTTTTTCATAGGTGGCTGAAACTTTGTTTTGGGGGGTATTTTTTAGCGCTCTATTCATTTTTTGTGTTTTCAAAGACGTACGTCTTTGAAAGCGTTCCCGAATTTGAAAATTGCGATAACTTTTTTGGTAGATGATATTCCGAAAAACGGATTACGGCACGTGAAAGAGCGTAAAAAATCAAGGGGTCAGGGTACTGCACAAAATTTTCCAGCAACGCGTTATTTCGACGCAAAAGAACTTTGAAAAATTTTAAGATTTTGGAAGCTCCTTGCTGTGTAGGCAATTTTTACTACAAGGATTGAAAAATTGCCTACAGAGCAAGGGGTTTCAAAAACCTCGAAGCTATTGAGACGGCTCTTGACCTTTCCCTCACACTTTTTCCAGGCTTGGGACTGGCCCGAGCATCATCCTACGAAAATTGCGGTTAGGCGGCGATATTTTTGGAATCAAATATCCACCGAAAAATCATACCTACTCAGAGGCTTATCGAAAACATGGTTTCAAAGTGTGGTAGTTTCGTAGCATAAGTTAGAGTACCTTTATAGACAGAGTATGGCCATTCGTATCTTTTTACTACAGGAAAACTGTTCCGCTTTTTGATTGGTCAACGAGTTTTTAGGCTTCATGATGCTCTTAGGGCCGTAAATAAACAAACAAGATGGCGACTCACCGTAACATCGATAAGAAGCTAAATTTGACAAAAATTTCAATTATACGGCAGTAACAGTTTAAACTAGCATATCTACGAATAACACACGAAAAAAACACGAAAACATTGTTAAATCTCCTTTCTCCTTTATCACAGGAGGATGTAAGATGTGCATAACCTCATCTTGCTTCCTGATAACAGCCATCTTCTTTGTTTATTATTTATCTCTGGTTTATTTACGGCCCTAAGAGCATCGTGTCAGCCTATTCGCTCGCGACCAATGAAAAACTGGAACAGAAATGGCCATACTCTGTCTATAAAGGTACTCTAGCATAAGTTGAATAAGTCATGCTTAATAATTACTTGTGAATGCTCGGGGCGCGGTCGCGCGGTTTAAAAGGTTTTTTTTTTTTTTTTTTGGTTTATTATTGAGTTTTTTTGTTTTGTTTTTTGCATAATAAATGGACGATATCAACAGTAAAATTCAATGAAACAGTTCAATCACAGGTTTTGTTCAAAATGGGAGCCGTTTACAGCGACGCATGCGTTGTATCTTTTCAAGAGAGACGTTGTCGTCGCTTTTCTCGAGTTTTTCGTCGAACCTTATCGAAAACATGGTTTCACAGTGTGGTAGTTTCTTAGCATAAGTTTAACAAGTCCTGCCTTAATAATTACTTGTGAATGATCGGGGCTGTTCAACCTCAACGCCGCTCCTCTCAATGCAGAGATTCGTGATATCTGCTCTGCACTTATTCATCGAATTTCTTATTTCATTTTCAATGGCAGATCTTGTAAGTACTTTGTGTGTAGTGAAAGGTTCGGAGATTAAATATAATTCATTTACGTATGTTGATGCTTGCCAATGTGTGTACTGTCGCTCGAAATAATTACACAGTAGCGGGAGAATAGCTAATTGTTAGCTAAGAAACTTATGCTAAGAAACTACCACACTGTGAAACCATGTTTTCGATAAGGTTCGACGAAAAACTCGAGAAAAGCGACGACAACGTCTCTCTTGAAAAGATACAACGCATGCGTCGCTGTAAACGGCTCCCATTTTGAACAAAACCTGTGATTGAACTGTTTCATTGAATTTTACTGTTGATATCGTCCATTTATTATGCAAAAAACAAAACAAAAAAACTCAATAATAAACCAAAAAAAAAAAAAAAACCTTTTAAACCGCGCGACCGCGCCCCGAGCATTCACAAGTAATTATTAAGCATGACTTATTCAACTTATGCTAGAGTACCTTTATAGACAGAGTATGGCCATTTCTGTTCCAGTTTTTCATTGGTCGCGAGCGAATAGGCTGACACGATGCTCTTAGGGCCGTAAATAAACCAGAGATAAATAATAAACAAAGAAGATGGCTGTTATCAGGAAGCAAGATGAGGTTATGCACATCTTACATCCTCCTGTGATAAAGGAGAAAGGAGATTTAACAATGTTTTCGTGTTTTTTTCGTGTGTTATTCGTAGATATGCTAGTTTAAACTGTTACTGCCGTATAATTGAAATTTTTGTCAAATTTAGCTTCTTATCGATGTTACGGTGAGTCGCCATCTTGTTTGTTTATTTACGGCCCTAAGAGCATCATGAAGCCTAAAAACTCGTTGACCAATCAAAAAGCGGAACAGTTTTCCTGTAGTAAAAAGATACGAATGGCCATACTCTGTCTATAAAGGTACTCTAACTTATGCTACGAAACTACCACACTTTGAAACCATGTTTTCGATAAGCCTCTGAGTAGGTATGATTTTTCGGTGGATATTTGATTCCAAAAATATCGCCGCCTAACCGCAATTTTCGTAGGATGATGCTCGGGCCAGTCCCAAGCCTGGAAAAAGTGTGAGGGAAAGGTCAAGAGCCGTCTCAATAGCTTCGAGGTTTTTGAAACCCCTTGCTCTGTAGGCAATTTTTCAATCCTTGTAGTAAAAATTGCCTACACAGCAAGGAGCTTCCAAAATCTTAAAATTTTTCAAAGTTCTTTTGCGTCGAAATAACGCGTTGCTGGAAAATTTTGTGCAGTACCCTGACCCCTTGATTTTTTACGCTCTTTCACGTGCCGTAATCCGTTTTTCGGAATATCATCTACCAAAAAAGTTATCGCAATTTTCAAATTCGGGAACGCTTTCAAAGACGTACGTCTTTGAAAACACAAAAAATGAATAGAAACGAGTGCACCCAAACGAACGATATTGAGGGATAAGGATCAGGAATCCTGCGATGATTGTCAAACAAAAACAACAACATCAACAAATTGATCAATTAAAAAGAAAATGAGATTGGTTTGTGAATAATTTCTTAATCTATTTTCATTTTGGACCGATGGAAATAACAATTTACTCTTGATGAACCACAATTAGGTAATATTTTCATTATTCTTGTTCACATTCGAGGTACCGCCATCTTGGTGCACTCGTTTCGGCCTCCATGAGCGAGAACCAATCAGAATTGGATTTTATTTTAGGCCACTTTCAGCCCAACCAAAAGCGAGTTGTCTTAACTCTGGGTATCAAGGGACTCTACAGTCCCCTGCAGCTCCAGGGTAGGCAACCTGTTTAGCGGTATGCCATACTTCGAGCTAACGAATAATACTGCTTGCCGTGTGGTTGACCGGTTTCGCCGTGCTGTGCTAAGTTTGGTTGAAGATTCACTGTATTAAATTTTCTTATGTTTTAAATCGTTAAAAAATGACGAAAAAACCAAAAAAAGAGAAAGAAAAAAAAAAAAATGCAAATAATTCTGCTCAATTTTCTGAGTCCATTTAAGTCCACTAGTGACTAAAATGAACAATTTTCGCAATTTGCCGTTCATAATCTGCACATTCGAAGTGCAACAGTGGCGTGCGGTGGGTTTAGTGACAGGGCAAGCTCTAGCGTTCGCCATCCAGGGGGGGGGGGGGGGGGGTTAACGTAGCCCCTTTTCCCTCCTCAAGGAGCCTCCCTAGAAAATTCTTAAAATTTTACTCTATTTGCTCTGTTTTGCGGATGAAATCTGATGGAACGTCTTGAAAAACTGTGGTTTCATTTCTTTCTCTCTTACTTATGATTTCGTTTACTCAACTTGTTTCGAATGTTATTGAGCATTGGAGGACGGCTCCATGCTCTTAAATCCTAATTTTGCCATGCCACTTATTTGAGGTAGTATAGTCTTTATTCTATGGCATTTAGAATTTTTTGAGGTACTTAAAATTCCCCAAAAAAACAGCTTATTTCTGCCTTTAAAACATGATTGTGAATTGTCTAATTCTTCACCAATAGATCCAAGTGAGCGACATTTTATAGAATTTAAGGGCATTTGCTCCGGAGGAGCACTTACAACCGCGACGGAAAGAGGGAACAAGATTGCGCATCGGAGGCAGAAGCAGCGCGCTGCGGTGACGCGTGACGGGCCATGAGATGGCCAAGAGAAGCGAGCTGCGATCGCGCAGCGAAGGGCTCGGACTCGGAACGTACCGCACTCCCCGCCTGCCTTGATTCCGCCGCTGAGTGCCGCTGAGCAGTAGCGCTCCGCTCAGCTGATCGCAAGCGACTCTCCAGCGCATGAGTTGGCCCGTGTTCAGGCCGCGCAGCGCGCTGCGCCACCTCCATCCTCTCTGCCGCTTTCCTACTTTCGTGGCTCTATACGTATTTCTGTCTCTTTCTCTTTCTGCTTTTAATGCAATTTACGTACTGAACACCTTATAAATTATATTTGCTAAAATGTAAAACATGTTAAAGGTGTAATTTTCTTCTTTCTCTCGATATCTTTGGGCAAGCAGTGCTTGCCTTGCTTATCCGGACCGCACGCCACTGAAGTGCAATTTCCCAATTTCCCATGCACTTCCATTACAAGTGGGCTAAAGTATGGCATACCGCTACACAGGTCCCCCCCCTTTTTTACCCTGGCGCTGCAGGCGACTGGGGGGCCGCTTCTTTCCTACGGCAAGTATACGGCGTGCGGTATCTGGAGTCCTTAGTAATCTTTGTTTTGTGTCGAAATAACGCGTTTCTGGAAAATTTTGTGCAGTACCCCAACGAACTAGTTCGTTGCAGTACCCTGACCCCTTGATTTTTTACGCTCTTTCACGTGCCGTAATCCGTTTTTCGAAATATCATCTACCAAAAAAGTTATCGCAATTTTCAAATTCGGGAACCGAATTTGAATTTTCGAATTCTGGACGCTTATGATAAGCGTCCAGCCCACGTACAAACTGGGGCTCTCAAACTGCACTAATTCTTCTATTTCTCAGCCATCTCTGCACGGAATGCCTTGAAAATTTCAAGATCAGATCTGTGATGTATCCCATGTGTATCCCGAACACATCGGTTACCCGGTACTCTAGTTACCCGCAAAGATCGTCGGGCCGACGATCTTTGCGGGTAACCGATGTATTCGGGATACATCACAGATCAGATCTTGAAATTTTCAAGGCATTCCGTGCAGAAATGGCTGAGAAACTAGCGTCCAGCCCACATACAAACTAGAGGCTTCAAAGAGACTCATCGATTGCCCCGACTTAAACCGCTGGCCAATGAGAGGGCCAGGAAAGGCATCGATGAGTCTCTTTGAAGCCTCTAGTTTGTATGTGGGCTGGACGCTATAGAAGAATTAGTGCCAGTTTGAGAGCCCCAGTTTGTACGTGGGCTGGACGCTTTAGAGAGTGCTCGAACTCGAACAGCTCATGCCGCAATCAGACGCTGAATTTAGCACCTGAATGTGGAAGTCAACAGTCATCGCCCATCGGCTGAAATTTAGCAAATTCGAGTTATTTTCATCCAGATGTGTATCAAATCTACTCGAATAGTTCAGACAAATTCAAACTTGGTCCGATGGTTGCTGAGAATCGTTGCTGAATTTTGCGCGTCACGCGCAAAATTCAGGCATCCGGCTAGAGTACCTGTATAGGGAGAGTAGCGACGGTTCTGAAACTCCGAAAAAGTCCATCAGGCCTTCACCGATGCCTCCGCGAATAAAGTTAGGGCCCAAAAGGGCAGCCAACCTATGAATTTCTAGAGTACCTGTATAGCGAGAGTATGGACAGATCGCTTCATGGAGGGCTTAGGGCCCAAAAGTGCAGCCACCCTTCTAACCAACTTCTAACGCACAAAATTTCACTGCCAGTCTGCAGGTTCCAATTCTAACCAAGATGGCCAAGAATGTACATAAATGAGCGTTCTTCCGCAAAATTGAGTAAATTTATGCAAAAACTGAGTCAAACACGTGCTTAATAAACGACGGTTCGTAACAATAGTATTAGTAAATCGTTCTGGATAATTGAAATTCATAGGTTGGCTGCATTTCTGGGCCCTAACTTTATTCGCAGAAGCATCGGTGAAGGCCTGATGGACTTTCGGAGTTTCACATCTGTCCATACTCTCGCTATACAGGTACTCTATGAATTTCGAATGTCCAGAGCGATTTACAAATACAATTGTTACGAACCGTCGTTTAGAAAGCATGTATTTGGTTTACTTTTTGCATAAATTTACTTATTTTTGCGAAAGAACGCTCATTTATGTACATTCTTAGCCATCTTGGTTAGAATTGAAATCTGTAGGCTGGCAGTGAAATTTTGTGTGTTAGAAGTTGCGCAGAAGGGTGGCTGCACTTTTGGGCCCTAAGCCCTCCATGAGCCGATCTGTCGCTACTCTCCCTATACAGGTACTCTACATCCGGCCGATGACTACCACATTCAAGCTAGAGTCCCTTTATACTGAGAGTCAAGACAATTTGGCTCATGGATGTCACAAACGGGAATAAAGATCACAGAAATTGAACGTTTTTTGTAATCTTTGATCGGCCCATTCTCAAATGCCTTTCTCCGTCCCTCCTCTCATTCCGTTTGTTCCTTGCCGAACCCGTAATTCCCTGGTCCATTCCAGATTATAATCTTTGCAATTGGTGAAAATGTAATCTTTATTCCCGTTTGTGACACTGTGGAGGCCTAAAATACGGGAACCAATCAGAAATGGATTCAACTTAATGTCTTGACTCTCAGTATAAAGGGACTCTAATTCAAGCCACATTCAGCTCCCACATTCAGCGTGTGATTGCGGTGAATGATAAGTTCCCGTCGCGCGTCGCGGCCATCTTGCCTGCACATTCGAGGGCAGGGGGTCTTTGCCTGCAAAAAGTAAACATCTATCAGCTGATATTAAGTGATAACACATCAAGTTAACGGCTAGTGCTGTGCTATCACAGAATATATAGGCTCCACCACCTTGGTGAAGCCTATATATTCTGTGGTGCTATAATGTTGAAATGTCCTCAATACTTATTGCAGTATCCTTACAGCTGGAATATGGTTTCATTGCTGTTATGTGATTATTTTTGGCTTCTTACCTTTATTTCTTACTTTTCTTATACGGCCGCGTAGTGGTATGCGACCCTGCTCGATAATTCCCAGGTTTTCAGTTGTGTTTATCTTTTCATCAACCTCAACCTCACACCGTACTTCTCCGCCATTTACTCTAATCTGTTTACATTTTAACCTCTCCTCCATGATTTTACTCCAAGGATTTTGAACATAAAATATCTTTATCTGTGTAGCTTGTGTGCTAGTTTGGTTCAGTTTTGGTGCCTTTACTTAATTATTGATTACAGGACATGATAGACTCTCCCAAATTTCTTTTACTAATTGCTTAGTGATCTGCTTTTTCATGGATTTAGGCTCTGAATAAAGTCTTACCATGTCCAGGTAAGAATTGTCAGCTTCTCATTGTGGATATTTTATTTTTGAACTTACAGTTTCCCCTCAGGTAGTACATTATTAGTCCTCATTTGGAAGTAGAGCATTTGAAGGAGGTAAATATTGCGTCTACTCACTCCAGTACAGAGAAAAAGTATTCACCGCTCTGCCCTGGCTGAATTCTTGTCTGTCAGTGAATTCTGCAATGATGAGGTGAAATGTCATGGGTACCGGCTTTGGTCAAACATGGGTGCGATATGTTGGATCCCCTCTGTTCAAAGTTTTAATTTTCACTCACAAGCCGATAAAGGATTTCAGCCACTGCATGTTTTATCAAGAATTACTTAACTGCGACAAAAAAATGTTACATACTATTAGACCTCAGAAGTATTTGACTGAGAAAAAAAGCATTGTATTTCATTGATAAATTGATGGCTGTTCTTGAGTAGGTAAGTTTCATTTTGCGACAGGCTATTAATTTATTCAAATCTTAAAATTTGTTAATTGCAGAGATTCCTTAGATAAATGTACAGGAGGTATCACTTCTTTTTTGGCTGTTCAGCCAAAATTAAGGAATTTAACACAAAGATCTAAATTCATGCGTCAAAGCATGGAAGTAAATTGAAGACAGTCTGCCTCCAAGCGCGTACGCGAGTGAAGAGTGAGCTTAAGAGTGTGGGCATTCATGCCCTGAAAGGGAAATTTGACTTGAAGTTTGCCTCTTCATTTTCGCCTATTCCATGTTCTTGGTTTACTCCAAGCACCGGAAATAACTGAATCAATAGTGATGAGGTAGTGGCTTTTTGAATTATCCCTACTTCTGCTGGATAATTCTTAGTAGGTAATTGCTGTAAAAATTGGAAGCATTATTTAGGACAATTTCCTCAAGTGGATTTGGTGAATTGTTTTGACGAGATTAGCAGGGTTGCTACCTAAAAGAGAAAAAAACCCTGCTGCAGCCAAGAATTAAACTCAGTTGCTGCATGAATTATGGCTGATGTCTCATTTTTTGTTTGGTTTCGTTGACATTCATTCATTTTTTGATTCCCTGTGGGATGTGGGTCAAGAATTTTGGATGTAGTTGTCATTACTGTGAGCACGAAAACCAATTGTTTTAGGCATACCGGTCATCATCTATACTATAAGCTCCAAGACCTCCTAATTTTGCGAAACTGGTAACGCTTAGTTCCAGCGTTCTACCGGGCCGATTTTCATGATTTTTGCGGCTATCGACTGGCAATTGCCTTTAGATAAGCCAACTCTTTTCAGATTTTCAAAATATGACCCAGGTTTTTTTATATTACGTGGTAAAGTTGCGAATTCTCCCATTTAAACATTGTAAATTTATACTTTTTGTCATAGTTCGTTTGAGCGTTCTACCGAGCCGATTTCCATGATTTTTGCGTAAATCGACAGGGAATAGGCCCTAGATGAGCTCGCTGTAATCAGATTTTGGAAAAAGGACCCAGGTTTTTTTTAAAATCACGTTATAAAAGTGAGTAAGTTTACAGAATGCTCCGGTACTGCTACCGCTATGCGCGGGAGGATGCGCAGTGGTCGAGGAGGTTGCGCAAGAGCTGTGTAGCCTGCGCATCAGCTCTACACTTATCTACACAAGATTCGCACTAGCGACTCCATGTTGAGCGGTGGCCGAGTCGTCTAAGACGTCGAATGCGACCACTTTGTTTCGATGTGGGTTCAATCTCCTAACCATGTAATCTTAAATATTACCTGACTATCATTGTTCATTGTTTTACTGCAATATCTCATCAAGCAGTCATTCCAAAACGCGCCCTTTTAATTTTAAAGTAATTTTAAGTAAAGTTTAAAATTAAAGTACACCTCATATCGTAATTTTTTAGGGGAAAAATAAAACTAACACTGATAGGAGGGTAAATATAGGGCCGCTAAGCGGCCCATTGATGGCGCGGAGCGCCTTCAGGGGGTTGGGCCGCGTAGCGGCAAGGGGGCGTAGCCCCCTAGTCTAAGTCTAAGAACAGAGTGCATTAAAAATGGTTCCATGATGACTGTTGCGTTTTTGAGAGAGCTTTTACTTAACAATTTTTAAGTAGATATGCAGTGATCCAGCGCAGGAGTGCAGAAACTTCCCTACAACGCGACTGGCTGTTCGCGTGAAATGGGGGAACTTTTGTGAGGATGAGGAAAATGGGGGAACTCATGTGAGGACGAAAAAATTGGGCTCTTGGGAGGTTTTTTTTGTTTTTAGGGTTTAGGGGGAACTTGACTGTTGAGTGCGCTACTTTGAGGGAACCTCACTGTCAAGTGCGCTGTTTTTGGGGGAACAATTTATTCAAGTGCGCTGTTTTTGGGGGAATAATGGGGGACCCTATTTTTCATTGTTCTATTGTCATTCTAATTGAATCGACTCATGCGAAAACCGCTAATGTCCATTTTCTCTTATTTTGAGTAAACTGCAAAAAACTGTAGAAGCCTTTTAAATGCGGTATTAACAAATTTTCAGAAGTTGATTATTACATCAGTGGATTGTAGAAAAGGATCCCTAACAGTTTCCAGCTCCTCTTCTGTCTGGGACGGAGTAATTAAAAAGAAAGGACTCTGGACATTAGCGGTTTTCGCATGATACGTAAAAATCGCCGAGTTTTGGAGCCGTTTGATTTTTTCAAAATTCATTCTAAAGATGTTAAAGCGGTAGATTATCATTCACATAAAGTTAAAGAAATAAAATTCCGGACAATTGCTGTACTCAAAATAAGTTTCATCACAAAACTTCCAGCAATAAACTGGACATAAGCGGTTTTCGCATGATTTGTGCGTGAACGGTTCTAAAACATCGAAAACGCATATTGTTCAGTATGCCTTTCGGGCAAAATAAGATTTCACTTACGTATTTTGAGGCGCTGAATTCGAATATGATCTCCGTTTTTTTCCATCACCCTCCATTTTTTCGGAAAAGCCAATTTCACTCGGAAAAATGACAATTTTTGGTGTTTTTCCGAGTGTTATCCCCTGCAGAATGTAGGTCAAGTTTTTCGTAGCTACGAGATTCAATCATGCCGATGTCTTTTTAACCGATGAGTCCGGAAATGACCTTAATTTTTCTGAATTTTTCCCGTTCACCTCTCTGTTTTCTGGGAAAGCAACTTTTTCCCGGGAAAATGAGCAAATCCGACGTATATTGGTCGTGCATGCAATTTATTTCTATAAATTTTTCTGGACCCTTAGTAGTATGTAACTTATGTAATTTGAGCTGTTAAATCCGAATATGATCTCAGATTTTTCCGATCACCCATCGTTTTTTCGGGAAAGTCGCTTTTCCTAAGGAAACGCTCTTTTCAGATATTTTTGCGATGAAGCTGGAGATAGCTGGCGAGGTGGGTGATAACGAGTTTCTAAGGTCATTTTCGGGTTTTTCAGCTCCAATTACATGAGAATCGATGTATCACACATGCGGAAAATGTTTTGAATTTCCCTGGAAGTGGGAACAGTCCGGAAAAGCTTTTGGCCCGGAAAAATCGGACCTTCTAGAAAACGGGGGGGGTTCAAAGATGAGTGAAGGTCAAATTCGAGCTCAGTGCCTCTTAATACAGCAAGAGAGACTTAAAGAGGATCTCGGAAAATTTCTGAAACTCCTTAGAACAGAAACATCATCGCAAAAATAACTGAAAAGAGCGTTTTCTTAGGAAAAGCGATTTTTCCGGGAAAATGATGTAGGAAAAATATACGTAGAAATACATCAAATCAGTCTTGAGTCTTTAGTGGGCTGTGAAAAGAGGCTCTTGAACTTGTTTCTGTCAAAATAGGTTTCACCTTTATATACAGGGAGGAAATATTGAAATAAACCTATGGACAATAGTTGAATATTTCATTTTTACGTCCAACTTTCGAAGTGGGTATTACGCCAGAAAAGAGCGAAAAAAGTCTTCACTAATCTTCAAGATGTAAACAATGCTGCTCGTAAGTCGGGAGTGTCGTTTTGGGCGAATACCGGATGCTCAGGGTGAGTAGAAGGATGTCTTTTGGGCGAGTGACCGACATCTAGTTAAATAATGATTTTAATTTATGAAAATGACAACGTTGCTTACCTGAGTGCAGTTATTGATGTCTATAGCGGTTGAGATCGGAGAACATGAACTTTCATTGAAGCTACGGGTGTAAAAAGCCCGCTTTGTCGAATTAAAATAAAAAGGCGTCTAAATCATTTCTTAAAATTCCTTCCCTCCATACATATAGGCAATTTTTAGAGGTAGGTTTGCAAGACAGCGTTCTGTGGTTTGGGCACCTGATTGATATAAATTCCAATGCTGCAGCGTTCGATTTATCGAAATTTATCGAGGTTCGATCATCTCCAGTAGGCATTTACTTCTGATGACCAGAATCGCACGAGTTCTCTCGCGTCTTCTCGTGACACCCCCGACCTACAGGTGGGCCAGGGACGCCCCCCCCCCCCCCCCCNACTAACCCCAAAAAAAGTCAACATCTTCGAATGGGATCCTTCTACTTGTCGCACATCCTTTAGTGGCGCATCGAACGTTTCTTTTGCCCATTCCAGTACCTCTTTTCTGTCATTATTATGATTTTCTAACCGGTGATGTCCTTCTGTCTTCAGAATGGTGACTCATCATTCATCAAATTGGGGTCGTGTGAAGAATGCGCCTTTTCAGATTGAAACTCAGCCTCTGTGTCATTCATCATTTAAAAGTGAATCCCCAGATCTAGGCCCTGAGTCACCAATTGAATGGGTTTGTGCTCTCTTCATATTAAACCAGTAATTAGTATACCTAGTATTAGTACATCATGTTTTTTTGTAGGAGGGGCCCCCCAAAAAAGCCCCCTCGGGACGCGTTTTTTCAGGGTTTTGTGCGCATCCAGTAGTGTCCCACCCAACCACCCTGGGAACCAAGTATATTTCTCGAAGTGGGATTGATTGCCGTCATACGTCCGTAAGCCATTGTGTAATGAATAGTTTTTCCAGATATTTCCTTTCCCTGACCCGCTGTGCGACTAACAATTTGTCCAAAATCTTCCTTCCCGTAACCCACCGAATGACGATAAGCTTGTCTGAAAATTTCCTCCCCCTGACCCACTGTGCGACCTAACCTAACAGTTTGTCCAAAACCTTCCTCCCCCTTATCTTCTGTCCGGCCCCACTCCGGCCGGCTCCCTTCATGCTGTGCAATCCCCACCTAAAACTTTCACAGCTCGTAATTTTTAAATGGCTTCGCCGATTTGGCTCAAATTCAATGCCAAACCAGTCCTAGGAGAGAACTGTCGCCTAAAAAAATTTCAGCTTAAAATATTTATTTTAACTCGAGTTATCGAGTGGACAAAAGAGCTTGATGCTACAACGGCTCCCCCCCCCCCCCCCCAAA